AATATGTTCTCTAAGAAACATATTAAAAGATTGTTGTTGAACTTGGCATGCAGACATTGACCCTGAGGAACCTCTTGCTTCCCATCACTTTATGGTAAGGAACAAAAATAACACAGAGCAACCAACCTTTTGTGGGAAAGGTAAGGCCGAAATTAGCTAGGGATCCACAAATCTTTCTAAAAATAAAAATAGTTCAGAATACTGCGTTTCATATATTTCTTTGACAAATCTTGATGTTATTATTTGCAGTGAGATTTAACCGTAATTATAACAAAAGGCAGTGCTGTGGAGATGGTATAACATTTTTGTGAATTTCCACAGTTGCTGGAATATTATTTTTGTAGTTGCTCAAGATTCAGTATGAGATAGGAATTTAGATAAGATGTAACTAAGACTTTTTGTCTTATAACTTAATACACATTTGAATGGATTTTGTAGGGCAGTTACTTGGTTTTGTTTGTTTCTTTTGCACGGGAATGAGATATGAGTTCCTAAGGAGTAAAATTACAGGTCTAGGTAGCTATGAATTGATAATGTATCAGTCAGGATAGATGCAAAATTTTTACCATCTGAAAGTTATCTGCCAGCCTGCATGAAAAGGTATTGTGTCTAACCCAAAGTCTTACCCAAAGGGACAGAGAACATTTGTAAGAGTATAGAGCTGCTGTTCTGCTCGAAGTTGCAAGGTTTGCCAACAGGCTGTTACTTTTATGAACAGAAAAGTAGGCCCACGTGTTTTCAAAGGCATTTCTATGTCTAATATCGAGAGATTTCAAGACTGGAAATACATCTTGTTTAATTCAGCCAATCCTACAAAGCTTGCTTTTCAGTCAGAAGAATTCATTTGAAGAATGACCCACTTGCAGGTGACAGGAGTATTGCCTTGGAGATGCTTGTTTCCTCCCAGGAGGTAAAGAGATCTTTGGGCAATGAACTTATCCCCAGCCTTATTGCTTAAAGGCTCTTGCTTTTAGATCTACCCCTTGTATTTGGCTGGTTTGTCTTAGCAGTTTTTCCCTAGTATCTGTATGCAGGCTGATGTTCCCCCTGCTTTGTTGAAACGTCGTTTTTCTTGCGGCTGAACACGTAGCTCTGACATGAGCTCTGTCACCATGTGATAGCATTACTGCTTTAGCACATTAATAAGCAGACAGTGCCTGGAGTCTAGATTTCTTTCTTACCTGTAACAATGCACCTACTAGACAGTCTTGTCACTGCATGTCTTCTCCTTTTCTGTCATGTCAGCTCATATTTTGGAATTACCCAAAAGACTCCTCAGATAATAAAGTCGTGTCCAGCTATCCATAAATCTTCTAAATAGAAAAGGGAAGTGTGCACCATCACAGAGACAATGCTGCCTTGGTCTCTGGATATCTTTTTTAGTTAACCCTCCCCCAAAAACATAGATTTTCCTAGCCTATTCCTTATTCTCCCAATGAATGTGATAGAAGAAATTGGCATATTGTATCAGACCCTGTGATGATAAAAGCTGACTTACTTTCCCTCCACCTGCTTGCAAAAAGATACCGTTACGATCTAAAACAAGCTTTCAAGACGTCTGGCTATGTGACCAGATTAATCTTAAATAGCACAACTGGGAATCCCTGAGGTTTGTTGCTCAGAATAGCTCCATCATGTAAGCTCACCAGGCCTTAGAGAAGTCTTCATCTTTGCTGAAGCTGAAAGGCTTCAGAATTTGAGAGTACACTTTTCTAGGATAATCATTCAGGCACACTTGGGAGGATTTACAGAACCCAAGAGATCCTACTTCTTGCAGCATTCATTGCTCCTGCTGAGCACCTCTCAGGATACCTCACCATAGAGATCTGGTACCTGCAAGGACTGATCTCGGTGCTCATCATGTCAGGGTGAGATTGCCTTGGCAAAAGTTTGGGAAGCTCTACTGTGCATACATGGACTGTGTCTGACAGAAATGTAGCACTCATCAGTCCACCTAGCTTCCAGTTCTCTGAAGTCCCATAAGATCTCAGTAACTGTATTTATATATCTGGAGTTTGCACTTAGATGCGTTATCTGGCAAAAAAGACTAAACTATTACATCTCCATTGCAGCCAACAAAATGTAGGATTTCCAGTTTTCCATTATCATTTGCTTGAAAGGAACAAGCCCTGCATCAGGATGAACATAAAAGATGTCCTGAACAAAGAAAAAGTTTAGAACCACCACCATTACAATGTCAAAGTATACTCAGAAGTTTCAGCTGCCAAATGACTTCAATGTTGCTGGTAGTTCAGATTAGTTCTGTTTCTAACTCAAAATGATCAAATTTACAATAGCCATATACTTTCTTCCACTGTTCTGTAATAGGTCTGTATTTCTCTAACGTCAACTTTACAATTATGTTTCATTTTCTGTAGCCCAGGAAGTGCTTGGAAAAACAGCCTGGCTTTTCACTCACAAAACAGATCAAATGCAGAAGCATTAGTCAGCATTTCTTTTTCAATCTGTATATAATTCTATTATATTTTAGGCAGTGCTATCAAAGCATATAATGCTGAGCAACAGTATTGCAGGGACTAGCCCTGTTGCGTTTGTGTCAGCTCACATCTTTGGCTGGTTGTGAATCATGGAATATCTTGGCAGAAGACTTCAATGAACCTACAGCCTCCCACTTAAGTATTCATCTTATTAATCATCCCAAGCTATTTCTGCTCTGTTTTTAAAGCATGCTTCAAAGGAAATGCTTAACTGTGATGAATTACAAAAGAGTAATTAATTCTATGAATGTGTGTGTTTATTTCTGTAAAGCCTTTTTATTTGAAGTTCTTCTATCAATGCAACTGTCTGCTTTCTGTGCCATAGCAGTCTTCCCAGTGTCAAGATCCTGGGGCTACATCTGTATTATAAAATAAAAAAAGAGCAAGGAACTGTTCTCTAACACTGAGGCTTAGGGGCCATATCCATGTTACACTGTGTTGGTCTCTGAGCCTGGAGCCAGGTCTCCTCAGGCCCCTCAGGCTCCTGTGGCACAATGCTGATTTTTATTTGACATTCTGCAGGTGGAACAGGCATGATTTAGAGAGTGTCTGGAATGTGAGTGGTATATTGCAGCCCACAAAACATCTGCTTTGATGACCTGATGATGCTTAACATGTTATGCCTAAAAGTTAATGGAAGAGCAAGCAGGGATATTTGCAAGTACACGTACTGCATGTTGCAGGTTGGAGGGAACTGTAGAGGAAAGGGGCAACCTTCCCTGCTGTCATCATGTTCATAATGCGTGTCAGGAGTGACCAACTCTTTGAAGAGTAAGTGGTTAAGCCATTTCACAGGCTGAAACAGGCTGGCAGTTAGGAGTCTGCCTGGTAACTCTGTGAAGGTATGTTCACTTTGTGATGGCACTTGGACAGTCAACAGCAGCAGTAGACATTGTGGATATTGACCCCTGCCGTGTGGTAATGTTCAACTGTTTCCTCACTGTGACGCATCACAATTGATTGTAGCTTGAAAATAAATGTTAGCTTCTTAACAGTGCTATATTTTGTATATTAGTTTTATCAGATAACCTAAAGTTAAAGTTATAATCAGCCTGGTCCTATAATTTAAAATAATTAAAATATTATTTTAACTTTTATAAAATCAAAGTTGCTGGACCAATCAGATGATTCAGATACTCCTGAGGCTTGTGATTACTGATGATGGCATGCAGAAACAATATGGGAATATGTGGCTCAGGTTTGAGGGGAGAAAGTAGTGAGGAAGGGAACCTTTCCTTTTGAAAGCAGTCAGGAGACAGAAAGACTCAAGCCGAAACATTGCAAAATGAAATTGTACTCCTCCCATCTATCCCCTCCTACCTTCCAAGTAACTCAATAAACTACCTGGCACAACAAGAATAGACCAGAAATTACTTGTTAGGTATGATGTTTGAGAGAAGACATAAGTTTTCCATGAAGTCAACTAGAAGACCATTGAGACAACACATATAAGGTTCAAGGTCAATTAGGCCCTTGAACCTTAGAGTGATGCAGGACTCTACAGTCTCCTGCAGGAAATTTGTTCTATATTTTCTAAAGGGACGCGTGATAAGCAGATGGAGAAAAGCCATGTTGAATTAACAGTTCTCAACCTCTGTATCTGAGAGATTGCTCCCTTTTGTGGTGAATTTTGTTCCTTTAATGAGGACAAAAGTAAGAAATTTCTTTAAGAACATAATGAGCTGTGAAAAATTGAAAGTTCTATTACTATTTTTATCAAAAAAGCTCTGTAGATAATAATATAAAATATGCATCTGAATGTTCCATACTGCTTTATTGTACTATATTATGCAATAATGTGACATATCTTCTTCAGATATGTTTTAATGTTTATAGCATTAAAGAATCCCTACACAGTTGTTTCTAGAGCTGTTATGCCAAGTTCATGTCAGACAACTTGCAAAATCTCCCAGGGGGATTTAATATTTCTGTATCATTTTGTGTCCAGCACAATGCATGCTCTGCACACCTGAAAAGTTCTCATTTTTTCATGTCCCAAAGAAAGGAATCAAGAAAAAATATTCCACTGAAGAAACTACTCTTTCCTATGCAAAAGGGAGACTTCGGTTCAGCTACAATAGAAATTCTTTTACTTATTGTGTGAGTTCCAACTGAAAAAAATTAGTGTGGTGGATTGACTCCTGCAGTCATAAACTTTCTAGTTTATGATATATGGCAGCAGATACCAAGGACAAAGTTGGCTAGTTTTAAGACTCTTTTTGTACTTATTAAGATAAGTAGAATGGGGAAAAGATTGACTAAAGCCAGAGAAATTGCCTTGTACAAGCAGATGATTTTTTTGTTTTGCTTGACAAATTAATTCCAGAAAAATTAACGGGAAGATAAAATTTCACTTAACTAGATGTGTAATTTAGAGCACTTATCCACCTTCCTTTTATAATTAATGTAAGGAGAATCAATCTATTGTGAAATAAGTGTCTAGAATAGTCACAGCCTTTTTTATTGAATATTCATGCTTAATGAATTATGTTCTATTTACAGGTTTTATCTGGGGTGAAATTAAACAGATGTGGGATGGTGGACTACAGGACTACATTCATGATTGGTGGAACCTTATGGATTTTGTAATGAACTCCTTGTACTTAGCAACCATCTCTTTGAAAATTGTTGCATTTTCAAAGGTAAAGTATTTTTTTAAAAATTCAGCAAAATATTTAAGATAAATGGAATTAAGCTTCTTTAAATTTTCTTCTGTATTTGAATGTTCTCAGTCTTAGAAATGCAAGAGATGTATGATGTGTATGCGTGACAAGAAGCTAGACCAGGATAAAAGCAAACAAAACATTGTGATTTATACTTTCTTATGCTTGGGTGAGGCAATCTTTTGTTATTTGATCCTGAACAGTCATACTGTCATTTTCTTGGAAAAGGATAATCACTGGTAATATTTAATAATGTTTCCACAGAAATATGTTTTGAATTAATTTTTACATGTTTGTTCAGTAAGAAATTAGTGCCCCTAACACAATTTCATATACCATGCAGAACTTCCAGACAGGACTACAAGAAAAATATTTTCCCAAAATTGGGGTGGG